AACAACAACAACAACAACAACAACAACCCCAGATTTTTAAAGCAAGTTTCTAAATTTCATAATTCTGCAAATATGCTTACAAAAGATTCAGAAAGCTTAATGACTGAGCCAACAAATGTTCTGCATTTGATTGCTAAATGCCTCTTCTTGTGAGCCTTTGGATATATTCTCCTTTCCCCATAAAATCTGCATTATTCCTGCTTCCCTTCCACTCTATACCAAAAGGTTCTACAAAACATGGATGGATATCTGATACAAAAAGCAAAGACAAGAAATTGATACAAAACAAGTATTGGTTATTTACAGGTAGAAAAACAAAAGCACAGATTATGAACCATCCTAGCCTCCTTACCTTATCCACAGGCTCAATGAGAAAATCATTAAAAAGGTACCACTGCTGATGTGTGACACCCTGCATGGAGAGGAGAAAAGGAGATTTGTGTACGAATGTCTGCAATCTTCACCTATGGACAGTAAGTCAGTCACAGAGAAAAGGCCAGCTAGAGCCAAGGGGTATCCCTGCCACAGGATACAGTGATGGCCACCAAATTGGATGGCTTTAAAAGAGGACTGGACAAATTAATGGAGAGGCAGCTATCAACAGCTACCAGTCTTGAGGGCTATATGCTACATCTGGCAAGAGGGAGCTGTGTTATGTAATCCCTACTTGAAGGGTTTTGTGGACAGATGGCTGGTCACTGTATGGGCAGAAAGCTGAACTGGATGGACCCTTGGCTTGATCCAACTTCAGGGCTCTTCCTACATGCCAAGAAAATCCCCTGGACAGCATGGAGGTGTACAATCTCCTAAAATGTTACTCCACTGATGGGGCAATAGAATTTCAGGGCAATAGATGGAAAGATCACAGGGCTGCTCTCTCTGCTAAATGGCTCACCTCTTTCCTTTGGTGGTAAGTCTCCCCCACTTTGATGTGTCCCACCAGGCTGCCCCCAGTCCGGGAATCCAGAATGTGCACAACAGTTGCCATAAGGTCATAGATGTATGTTGACTCCTGATCCTCCAAACCCCTTAGCTAAGAAAAAAAGTGGGGGGAGGGGGAAAAAGATGATTCTATCAATGGGTTAGATTTATGAGCAGCTCTAACAGTTAGTTAGTTGCAATCTTTGTATATCTGAGAAAAGTGCACTGACAGGAAACACTGTACCATTCTTAATATTCCCACAGCCAACTCTCATCCTTTGATATTCAAATTCCAGTGCTCTAACTCTACTGAAATCCTGGTTTCTATGAAGGAACATCAGGATTGGATCCCTAGATTTTTGTTCCAGCTCAGGACTTTCACCTACTTATCCTGACACATGGAGTGCATTGGTTGATTTCTCTTATTTAAAAGAAATAAAAATAAAATAAAATAAGTTCAAATAAAATTTAAAAAACCAATTGACTTGTAAAATCCTGTTTCCCATTGCCCATAGAATCCCCACAGTGTAGATCACCTGGCTGGTTCTACACACATTCCATGTCAGCACCCACTTATGGTGGAGCAAAAGGGGTTTTCTGGAGAATACCAAGGCTTTTAATAGACCTACATGATAATAGATCTGCACGATTTACTACAGTTCAGGTCCTTTCTCTTCTACCTTATCCACAGGGGTAATGTCACGCCATTTACAGGAATATTCTCAATATCCGAAAAGCTCCTCCACATACTACGGTGTTTGCAGAAGAGACATATGATGGCCAAATGGAGACAGGTCTCTCCCACAATGTGCAACACAGCTTGTGGAATGCTCACACAACAGGACAAGTTCCCAGAAAAATGATGTAACCCTCATGTTTGAAGTTCTTTAAAACTAGCAACTTAACTTCTTTCAGGGATTATTTAAATGGAGATCTCTCTCCTTCTCTCAAATCGAGTAGAACTGGATTATGTGACTCTGGAGGAATCCCCAGGTGTCTCAGATACTAAGATAGCATTTACAAATCTGGCACTATGGTAATACTTTCTTGCAAGCAAGAGATGTTTTACTTCAGTATTTTCATCCCAATTGTAAACCTCCAGCTCCTTGTTCTTGGAGAGCTTCATCTTGATGGAATAAGGAATCCAGATGTTTTTCAGCTCTTCAATGGAAGTATAAGAGTGCCCCCCTTCTGCTATCCCAAATTCATTCCTGAGAGCAAAGCAAACAAAAGCAAAATAGCATCATGAGTCTAGACAGAAACAACAATAAACAGTGACAGTTATTGTACTGGGCTCTCCCAGAGCTACCAGAAATGACACCAAAATGCACAGACCAAAGAGAAGGGCTTGCAAAGTTCAGGGAAAAAGGACTGTATCAGCCATTGGATCATCTATATGAGAGATCAATTCTCATGGAACTGTTTGCCTCTGGAGTAAAAGTTTGTGTCAAAATTGTTTGTGGTAAAATGCATAAATGCATAAATTTCCATAAATTTCGTAGGTAAGATCCATACTTTTTCGTAGGTAAAAAGTATGGAAGGGGAGGCATCTAGGAATCAGTCTCTCAAACTTTCCTGACAAATCACTTTATGAAGGCCAAGTATTACACCTGAATAATCTCAATGAAAGACCAGGTTATGTCCCAGAGGCAGAATGCATAGTTAAATCTGAAATAGCCTCTGTTGGTTCTTTATTCCAAGACACAGCATGTTAATGTGCCCTAACTTTTTCAGACTGTACAAAGGCTGGCACTTTTTCTTTCAGAGTTGTTGCTGTTGAACAGTTGAGGATGGACACAATCTCAATGCTGTTTGGAATCTCTCAGCCTACTTGCTTCAGGACTGCATACACCCATTATGCCTCAAAACTCTCTTAAGGTACAGAAGAGAATAGAAGCATGCCATGTTATCTCTTGCAACTGATAGACAGCAAGAAGTTCTAGGAGTGGCAAGGCCTTGCAAGAGAACTAAGAGCTTGATCTTCTGCCCTTGCTTTGGCAAAATCTTTCACTCTTAGGAACAGTGGATTAGAGAACACACATCCCTGTGATTTCAGAAAAACTACCCATGGCGACAGGCTGCATGGAAACATTATCTCTCACTACTCCTATGTACCCAGAGAAGTCATATGCAGTTTGTAAGCTACCATGAGCAGACTACAGAGGAATAAATGGTCCTGAAATTAATCCTTTCAGGAGCACTGCTATCATATGTTACACATACATTGGAGTTTTATTATTCCAGATCTGAGCAATAATATTACAAGAGAATTCACATCATACAGACCACTTTGAATTTTTCTACATGTACTTAGTACATGCAGTTATTACATTTTGGATATCCTAAATATAACGGCTCTACATTATTTAAGCTGCATTGCAGTCTTAGTTTTACTGCCACAGTTTCCTTCTGTGTGCCCTTCATGCCCGTTACAAACAAGAATGTGGTAGATGTTGTCTTTGAAAGAAATGGTTAAGGAAGGGTAAGATCAGAACTGGACAGAACATTTTTTCCCTAGAAGAACAAACAGTTGAGAAGACATAAAAACCATTCTTAGATGTAAATGCTTACCATTCCCCAATAGGTATTTCTCTGCCCTTGGGCAGCTCCAAGCCACCCTTTGTCATCATCAGTTTCTTGAAGGCATACTGTCAAGAAAAGATAAAGCAAGAGATTAAGCATCTAAATAAATATACATGCAAATACTTCAGGATTTCATTTTGCTCCAAGCTGTGACTACTTCCCTGTCCTAATTTCAAGAGCAGACCAAGACAGGGAATGAAAGAATGCTGTAAAACATCCATCCAGTCTCCTACAAATGGCAGGCAATGGGAGCATGCGGTACCAACCCTCTCACATCTGCCTTTTCTCCAACACCACTGGCCATTTTTGCAGGGATATAAAATTCAGATGATGCCTAAATAAATCTAACCCAGTGATGGTGAACCTTTTAGAGACCAAGTGCCCAAACTGCAACCCAAAACCCACTTATTTATTGCAAAGTGCCAACACTACAATAAAACCTGAAAACTGAGGTTTTAGTTTACAAAAACCAACTCACAGCCAGTCCAAGCAAAAAATATATATCCCTGTGGCACACATGCCATAGATTCGCCATCACTGATCTAAGCAAAGAAGTCTATCTGAAAATTGCCCACATTAAACCGGCTTACATACCCTGGAGCTGTCTGCACATAGGCTGCATGGGAAGAGTCAGTGACACCCAAGGTGGGCGAAAGCACAGTCTCACAGCGCATGGGAGAAACTGCAATGGAAAAGATGTGCTCTCATACCTCTGCTTGCATCTTCCAGAATTCGGCCTCCTTAGAGCTGTTCACTTCACAGTTAATGACCAGAACATCAGGCAGGCAGCGGATATTGCGGGTCTGAACCTTGAACAGCAGAGAGGAAAGAGCAAAGTCTGAAGTAGGGGCAGGTGGCACAGATTAATCCCTAGCACTGCCACTGTAGCTTTACCTTAAAGATGCCGGGACTGAACACACAAATGGAGCATTCAATAATCTCTTGTTTATAACAGATGGCAGCACCAGACTTTTCAAAGAAACCAATACTGCAGGCTGAAATGAATGGAGATGTGCCTCAGAGAAGGCCTGACTCCATTTTTGATACCAGCTTCGAATTTAACATCAAGGCACAATGGCCTTTTCTCATACACCTTGCCAGCAGGAAAGGGGGATACCAGTGTCAGATAGCCAGTTATTTATCCAGAGCACAGCTCACTTTGTCAGGCCAGGCCTGGCTGATGTCATGCCATGCATAAAGCTTGCTGTGGATCAGTGCCACAGCCTGGGGGCAGGGAGCACAACCCTCTGCTCCGCACTTACTGTGGGCTGGTATTTCTCACAGTTCTCACACCAGGCCTGGGTGTTCTGCTCCAGACAGATGCTTCTCTTTAAGATCTGAGCAAACTCATAATCCTTGATTTTATCTGGGAAGGAGGGAAAGGAAAAGGCTATAACTCAGTAGCAGTGCAGCTGCTTTGCACCCAAAGGTCCCTGGTTCGATCCTATGCATCTCAAAGCACGGCTGGAAAAAAAACCCCCGCCTGAAACCTTGGTGAGGCCTTGCTGCCAATCAGTGTCAACAAGACTAGGCCAGATGGACCAAAGACCTAACTCAGTATAAAGCAGCTTCCTATGTTCCTATCATCCCTTAGTCTGATCTTTGGAAGTAACACCTAATCCACCAGAGAAGCACATGGAAGAAAATTCTAAAAGATCTGGTTCTTCTGGTGAGGCACAGAGCGTAGCAAGAAAACAGTTGCCTATGAACCAGTGGCCAACTTCGCGGTATCAAACTGGATAGACAGCAAGCAGTGTTTGGCAAAGCAGCAAACTCTTTAGGCCTTCCTAGTCAAATTTAAAAAAACCAAAACTGACAAGTCAGCAGCCAGAGTTCATTCTAGATCTTGTAAGGACAATGCAGACTTTAAGGTCTCCAGAAGAAGAAACGAGTTTGTAGTTCTGAAGTTTCTTGAAGTCTGTTAAACCCAGGTTTTAAAATGCAAGCAACTGGTCACCATCATGGCCGATCAGCAGAATTGTACAGTATTAACAATAGGTGCCTGATTCTTTATTTTTCTTCTATTTTTCTTCCTCTCCCTTGTCCTCCACCCACTTTTCTACCAAATTCTGCCTGTTTCCATGGCCTGTCTGATCATCTGGGGGTGACGGCCTTGGGACAACCATGCTCTCCTCTGCCCTTTCAATTCCTACACTCTCCATCTCCCAGCCATCATCATCCTTACCTGGAGAGCTGGTGCAACTCCAACCTTGGAAAGCAAGCCAACAATAGTTTTCTAAGCTATTCCCAACACCCAACTAGATTCATCTCCATGTTTCTTCCAGCCCTCTATTAACCCATAAACATACCATGATTCTCAGGGTAGGACAGAGTAAAAAGGAGTGTGGAAGATACTCGAACTGTCTCCTTGCCACAGCGACACATGCTGCAATTCTCCACTTCACAGCTAAAAAGCTGCCCAATGACCGAATCCCCTGAAGATCCAAAGTTGCTGGAAGAAACAAGACTCACTCAATAAAGCCTTGAGTCTGCCATTCAGGGAGACAATGCTGAAACACCACTGTTGTGTCTGCTACTTTACAAGGTAACAACACATAACATGACCTAATAAGGTAATAAGGTAACATAACATAGCCAAGTTATGACGATTGGGATGCAACATTTTTCAAGCTGAGAAAAACAAGGAATGTGACAGCAGCTCTTGATAGCAACTGTCCCGTGCAGTTTATTGTCCCTGTTTTACATTCTAAACTGCAGTAAGCTGATGCAACTCAATGGGGGTACAACGTCAGCTTTAGCAGTGTACCACAGGCAATCCCTATCTGCACGTGGGGTGCCTTTTTTAGTTCTGCCATTAGAGATCACACAAAAGAAAAGAGATTAGTTGTTGTTGTTAGTTGCAAAGTCGTGTCCAACCCATCGCAACCCCATGGACAACATTCCTCCAGGCCTTCCTGTCCTCCACCATCCCCCAGAGTCCACTCAAGCTCACACCAACTGCCTCAGTGACTCCATCTAGCCACCTCACTCTCTGCCGTCCCCTCCTTCTTTTGCCATCAATTGTTCCCAGCATTAGGCTCTTCTCCAGGGAGTCCTTCCTTCTCATTAGGTGGCCAAAGTACTTGAGTTTCATCTCCAGTA